GCGGGCCGTTTTCAAAATGTGGCTCTGGCCTTAGCGCCGCGCGCATTCGTTCTAAACATTTGCAAGACCTTCACGGACTGAGGGCGGGTCGTTTTCAAAATGTGGTTCTGGCCTTAGCGCCGCGCACATTCGATGTAAACATTTGCAACAACTTCACGGATTGAGGGCGGGCCGTTTTCAAAATGTGGCTCTGGCCTTGGCGCCGAGCACATTCCTTTTAAACATGTGCAACAGCTTCACGGATTGAGGGTGGCTCCTTTGCAAAATGTGGCTCTGGCCTTAGCGCCGCCCACATTCGTTAAAACATGTAAGAGTTTCACGGATCGAGGGCGGTTCCTTTGCAACATGTGGTTCTGGCTTTAGCGCCGCGCACATTCTTTTCCGATATTTGCAAGGGTTTCACGGCTTCCCATGATCAACGTGCCAGATATGGTGTTGTGCAAGGATTCAGGATTATGCGGGCGCAACAGTTATGTTGATTCGCTGTGTTGAAATCCCAAACATGGCGTTGTGGCACGGTTCTGGATCGTCAAGACGCAGCAGTCAGGTTGATACGTGGCGTTGAAATCCCGAGAACCATGTTTTGGCACGCTTCAGGATCTTCAAGCTGTTGTCTTCCAACGAGGCAGTTCCCTCAATGGAAATGAACCAGTGTAGGGGCCTATGAAGAGGGAGTTTGGAGGGAGGGTTAATTCCATCATCGTTGATGGTTCTTCGGTTTCCACTGGTCCTCCTCCTTCTCCTCATCCTCCTTCTCCTCCTCTTCCTTTTAACGTTAGACGAACCTTGGCGTGACGCTGTGGCGTTAGAGAACTCCTCCTCCTCCTCCTGCTCTTCCTCCTCCTCCTCCCTCCATCCGCCTCGTTCCTGCATCAGGCGCACCTGGGGAAGAAGGAGGCGGGGGGAGCTGGGAGGAGGATCAGGAGGGGGGGGCTTCGGGGGAAAACGGGGACGAGGAGGAGGAGGAGGAGGAGGAGGAGGGCGGGAGGAGGGGATAACAGCAGGAAGAGGAGGCGATGGACGGAGAGGAGTGAGGGCTCCCCGCTCCCAGACCTTGGTTTCGCCGCTACAGCGTTCATCTGCCCGCCTCTTGCCTCGCCCCACAGTTCGCTTCTCCGCTTCCCTCGGTCCCTGGCAGCGCTTGCTTCTGCTCCGAGCGTGTTTCTCTCGTTTGTCCCCCTCCGTAGCGTCTCACCCCTCTCGTCGTCCATGTTTGTGTTTCCTCTCACGAGGCACTTGCTGCACTCCTGTCCGTGCACTATGTTTCTGCCCACTTCTTTTCTCGGGTTCAGCCCACCTGTCCATGCTGTTGTCTACACAACTGGCTTCCCCGAGCCAACGTCATTCTCGCCCTGCAGCCCTGCATGTTGCACGTGTCTCGTCATCCTCGATCCTTCGTCTTCACCCTTCCTCGCCACTGTCTTCGCTTGCCACTGCTGCGGCTCATGTCTTTCCCCCTAATATCGCGCGCACACGCAACACGCACACGCATACACACCCATACACACATGCACGCACGCACGCACGCACGCACGCACGCCCGCACCCGTACCCGCACCGCCCCCCAACACACACACACACACACACAACAACACCACACACACACACACACCACACACCACACACACACACACACACACACCACACACACACACACAAACCACACACACACACACAACACACACACCACACACACACACCACACACAACACACACACACGCACGCACGCACGCACGCACGCACGCACGCACGCACGCACTACACGCACACACACACACGCACACGCCACGCACACGCACACGCACACGCACACGCACACGCTCACGCACACACACACACACACAAACACACACACACACACGCACACACGCACACACACACACACGCACACACACAACACACACACACGCACACACACAACACACACACACACAAACGCACACGCAGACGCACACGCACACGCACACGCACACGCACACGCTCACGCACACGCACACACACACACACACACGCGTACACACACACACACACACACACAACACGCACACACACACACACGCGCGGTGCATCAGGCGAACAACCCGCGCCACGATAGATCACGGAGGGCTCCACGCCTTCCCAAGCAGAGACAAGCTGCCGCCGCTGCATCAGTCTCCTGATGAGTGTATCGCCGTATGCCCGGCCAGCTCCGGCGCTTTAAATCGGGTAGGCCAGAGTGGAGGCATGTTTTGGACATGAAGATCTTCCAACATCCTTAACGCTTCACGTATCCCCACCAGCCCATCCAAAACCGACGCCAGGGCGAGTTGGGACGATCATGGAAACGTAGGAGCCACATGGGGGACAGTCGTAATCGTTCGAGGGAGGAGGAGGACGAGGAGGAGGAGGAGGAGGGATGATGGAGGGGGGAGAAGGATTACGATTTTGGGGATGAGGAGGAGGAGGAGCAGGAGGAGGAGGAGGAGAATGAGAAGGAGGAAGAGGAGGAGGAGGAGGAGG